TAGCTGGAGTCGTTAGCAACAACCTATGGCCATCAGCATGTTCATGGCTCTGTAGCACTTGGCCCTGGTGCCTCTGCCGCCTCGCAAGCCCCAGATGCAGATCTTAACTGAACAGAGAGGTGGCAGCTCAGTTCTCTCCAGGAAGCCAGCTTTGCTGCTCAGGTGGACAGGACTCTGATGAAACAAATGAGCAAAGAGGAGGTGTGATCTTTCTTGGCTCCTGTGGTTAGTAGCAGAGAATGAAAATACCAGATCTGCAGACAGGCTAAGTAGCAAACTGAGCTTAGCAGTGTGTAAACCAAATGTCTTTCTCCATGAATTAGGAAAAAAAAAAAAAAATAAAAAAAAAAGAAAATGTCTATATATATGATCAGTTAGAAAAAGAAAGAAAAAAAAAGGAAAAAATAGTTCATCTGTGTCACAAATCAACTGCAAAAAGAGTTGACAATAATAAAATTTCACACTTACATTTTGCAAGACCTTATTGCATTGCCACAATGATTCAGATTTGTTTTTATCTTGATTTTACAAATGAGGAAACTAATGCAGTGAAAGGCATAAATATTTTCAGATGTCACAGAGCTAAAAGTGGCAAAACTGGGATTTGAATTTGGGTCTCTCTAATCTGAAGCCTGAGCACCTGCAGTGTACCCTGTCACCTCTCCGAGGGAGCTCACGCTAGACTGGGGGACAAAGGGACAGCTCCACACCAGCTCTCCCCCATCCATCACAGCAAACTCCATGCCCAGACACGGAAGCCTCTAGGCACTGTCCTTAATGCTCTGTTTCTTAAATACCAGCTCCGTTTTAATTTTATCACATGACCTTTAAAGTGAAAATTACAGAAGCTTGTGATGTGCAAAAACAGATCAGCATCCTGGTAATCCAAATCCTTCTGATGTCTGCTCCCTCCATGCACGGGTTAGAGGCCGTGGCAATGGCTACAGCAGCAAGGGCCAACCTGGACAGTACTAACATCCACTGGAAAATAAAACCTAGAGGAGTCCAGATAATAAAACCCAGAGGGAGTTTGATAAACTTAATCGTAACCTGTGTCCTTCTTGGCTTGAATTATATGAGTAGGGGGTGGTATTCAATTTTTTTTCAAGATGGGGTCTGGCTATGTTGCCCAGGCTGGAGTGGAGGGGCTATTCACAGGTGTAATCCCACCACTGATCAGCATGGGAGTTTTGACCTGCTCTGTTTCTGACCTGGGCCGGTTCGCCCCTCCTTAGGCAACCCAGAGGTCTCTCACTCCCAGAGGTCACCATATGGATGCTGAACTTAGTGCAGACACCCAGTCGGCAGAGAGCACTACAGCCCAGAACTCCTGGGCTCAAGGGGTCCTCCTGCCTCAGCCTCCCAAGTAGCTGGGACTACAGGTGTGGGCCACCATACCTAGTTCAATTTTTTTTTAACGTAGTGAAATTCTTTTATTCTACCAAATAAAATTTTAGTTCTATCCATAACAAATAAGAGAAATATTTGAAGATTAAGTTAAATATTTATAAGCTTGGCCTATGAAAACAGTGAAGTATTTTGACCTCCAGCGTGAGGGAAGCCAGGACACAAATTGCAGTGATAGATTAGCCTCAGCATTCATTTTATTCGGCTATTCTATTTTGATTGTTAAACATGGAGAAATCTTGATTCACACAGATACGTAGCTGTCAACTGATAAAAAGTTCTGAATATCTTTCCTTGCAATAGCATATATTTTTCAATAAGACTAATCCACAAGCATTCAAAAGTAAGTATAATTGCTTTCTTATGTCAAATTTGAGAACTATATGCATTCCCTAGAAATATAAAATCCAGATAAGTGTCTAGTCAGTGCTAACACTCACTAAAATATGCTACTATTTTGATGTCATGTTTGCTGATTCACTTGTTCCTGCTTCATTATTATCATGCAGAAAGAGGGTGCAGCACGCAGATGTCCTTGAGTATAGCTGGGTGTCAGTGGATGAGGCTGTGCAGTAGCCGTGTGCCTACCCTTATCTGCTCTACCTGCAGAGACTGATGACACACGACAGTGCAGGGTGACATCCTGCCCCACTGGTAATGCACCCACCAGAAGATCCTATGAATATACCAGGGAAGGCAGGAGAAGATGTACATGGAGTTCTCACAGTTAACTTGGAGCACAAAACTCACATATTCCTAGTGCAGTGTATTAAAATCGGATATATAACACATTTGAAAACTATACCATTTTAATCTAAAGCTTACAAAAAAATTAAAATATTTGCCAAAAGAAAACCACCAAAAACAAGAAAAGAGGGAAAAAAATAAAACCCCACAATCTTCAGTCCCCCAACCAGCTCAACAGAATGGTTCTCGACTGGATCCAAACCAGTGCTGTTCAGTGCAGTGTGAGAACCATCAGTTTGGGCATAACCTGTGAACTTTCCATCAGTGCAGACCTCTGCATCAAGATCTTCTAGTTAACCAAAGTTTGAGAAGCACCAGGTCAAATAATAGAATTGTTCCTATTCACAGTGGCATCTGAGTGACATCCTAAAATTTAAGAATAAGACCATTACAGGAATCTGGAGAGCTCTACTGTCTGTATGTTTCCTGATTAGTCCCAATATTGCAACTAATTTGCCATGTTCCTTATGCCAAACAAAATCCTGCTAGTGCAAGGAACACAAAAACCTTTACCCAATGGATGAGAGGTGGAATAACCTGACCAGGTTTCTCTCCCATGAACTCCGGAGCCTGTCTGTGAACTGTGTGGTGTATTTCCATTCTGAGGGACCACTTTCTGAGCCATTGAGCTAAATGGATTTGATTAGAGAAATTCAGTTCTATCCTATTTAGTCAAAATGACACACACCAAGCTAATAGGAAGTTGTCTTCCTTGATGAATGCTTTTGTATATATTATTCTATTGTTTGGGGGTTGGGGGTATATTCCTTTGACCCTAAAGTATCTAGGTAGCAACGACTTCCTAACAGTTTCATAGCCTTGGGCTGCTGCTCATATTAGCAAGATTGGTATGGATGACATTGATAAATTCTTCCTGATTCTGAATGTCCTCTGCTATGAACTGACCTTTGAAGAGAGCTGAGTACCTGGTGGAGGCAAACTCCAGGTTTGCAGTAGAGTGGAGAGAGGCCCTTCGCATCGGGGAGGCGCGTGCCGAGTGCCCGCGCCCTCACGAACCCCAGCAAAGCCCCTGCGATCACTGATGTGTGCTGCAGACTCATTTGATCAGCACTGTTAGTCCATTATCTGGGCATCTTCTCAGCAACTATCCACAATTTACTCCCTGCTGGGAAGTAGACCCTGGAAAATTTAGGAAACTGACTTCTGACACTTCTCTTTTTATTCCTTAATTCCTTGATGTTTGCATCTGCTGTAATTACAGCAAATTTCAATTATAATGAAGATCCAACTGTGGGGGTAAAATGGGATTATGGTAATTGTTGGAATCGAGAGTCATAGAAATAGGTTTCAAAAGCTTTCAGAAAAGCTATCTGACCAAAACAAGATCAATGCAGTTGCCTGCTAATTAAAGCAAACAGACAAAGGAACACAACCTAGCTGATTGTTAATGTACGAGCTTCATTAAACAGCTTACATTAGTCAGCTTGCATTTTGAGGAGTATTGAAATGTTTTGTTCTTTTGTCTCTAAGGAAAGCATATAGAAATTGAAACTGACCTTCAACAGTACAAAGAAGGGATAAGAATCCTTAAAAGGGGCGGTAACTCCACGGAGCGTAAATATATTCGGACTCATGTATAGAGAAACATTTATCTGTATATTTGGGGATTTCAAAGGCCTGTTAATAGGTATCGAATTTATTTGAGTCTGTTTGGAGAAATAGAGAAGAGGAAAATTTAGCCATGAGGAAAAATTATTACCATAAGTTTTTATGTAAACACACTGAATATTTCTTGATGCTGACCTATCCTTTAATAGATGACTTTCTCTAGATGTGTCAAAGTGGAAGATTTCTGGGGAGGTGGGAATATGTGTAAAAAGTACATATGTATAAATAACTGCACTAGAAGGACAGGCACTTGGGCACACATGGTTAACCTTTGTGCTTATTTTCTTAGACAAAGGACCCTTTCTTTTAACTTTTACAGGTGACAAAATGTACCTGGATCAGAAGGGGGCTGTAATTAAAGGCAATCATTAGGAGTGCATTGCCAGATGAGCCTGTTGCAAAGGAGCAAAGGCCCCACCCATTTAATTTTATTTCCAGAGTTTGATGGGGAGATAGAGGGCAGAGAGTTAGACCTGGCTTGAACACCCGCTCTGCTCTCACTAGTGGCCTGGCACCCACGGGGCTCAGGAGCCTTACGTGAAAAGGAGACTCCACTGCACACCTCTGTGGTTATGTCTACTAGCATAGATGTAGTTATACATAGTTACACATAGTTGCTACATCTACTAGACTGCAAGGTGTACCTCTGTGGTTACTACAAGAGCTGAGACCAGGCAGCGCCCCCCGAACAGGCCAGGCAGTCCAGGTCCGTTGGTCACAGTGGCTGCCAGTGACCAGGCAACTGCCAGGCAGTTCCAGTGCCCGAGTTTCCAGGCACCCTGCCCCATCCTGTCCTTTACCTGAGCGTCTCCTCTTGTCCAGCTGGTCTCATCCCTGGGCTGAGGATATGTCTTAAGATAGTCTGCTCTCGCTTTTGGAGACCATTTCTTAAGGAGGATAAGTTTCTCTTTGCTATTGTCTAATATATATATATAGATAGATAGATAGATAGATAGATAGATAGATAGATAGATATATGTGTGTGTGTGTGTGTGTGTCTTCCAGACTCACTGCAAAAACTATGAACAACCTAGAAATATATAAAAAGTGAGACAGTACTTTTATTCCCATAGTTAACCACTAGTAACAGATTGCCAATTTGGTGTATTTCCTTCGGGACCTTATATTCTGTACGTAACGACAAAAATAACAGCAAAAAATTATACATTTTACTCTGCAAATTGCTTTCTGTACTTAATAGCATAATATACATTGAAGGACTTTCCAAACTCCTTGCATGTGGATGTACTATTCATTTTAGTCATCTCACAGCATCTTAGAGTGTGATGTGCCATCATTTAACCATTCCCCAATGGTACATAGTTTTCCATTGATAATTTTTTAATAAATTTTTCAATGATCATAATTTTACATCTTTTTGTACATATGAGAAAGTATTTCTGAGACACTGTTCTACAAAATGGAATTATGGGTCAAAGCTGACAGGTCACTTGTGGCACTGTCTCGGCGTCACTGGCAAGGTGGCCCTGCGCCCCACACAGCGCACGAGCAGATAGCAGAGTTTCACGGATCGCTGCGAAGGCCATGGAGGGGCAGTGTGTCATCCTAGAAGAAACAGGCAGAAAACACAGGGAAAATAAAATGATTGACTGTCCAATATCTTAAAAATATAAATAAAATGAGGTAACACCTTTTCTGTAACATTACCAAGTAAGAAAAATAAAATCAAATCCAGAGTTTTCCAGTTTTGAACACACAGATTCATCTAAACATTGCTTAGGGAGTGTAGGGGATTTGGGGGGAGAATTTGTCTTAATAGATTAAACATAGAGGCTGTTATTGTCACCAAAAAGTGCCCATGGAGGTGACAGACAGATAAAGACAAGGGAACTAGAGTGGAATTCAGCGCTCCCGGCTGTACAAATGGGAGCCAGGCTCCCAGGCCTGTGCAGAGCTGAGGGAGGAGCCCGGCGGCCCCGGTGGTGTGGGTGGCAAAGGCGGAATTTCAGAACAGAATGAAGAGTCAACACAGGTGCTGATGCCAGTGCAGAGCAGACTGTTAGCAAGGTTTATTTTTGGTTTTAAAAAAGTCAAATTGAATTTCTTAAAATGTTAAAATCCTTGTTCTTTAAGTTTCTTTTATTTTTTATTAATTCAGCTTATAAAATCTTATTCTATTTATAAGTCTAGCAGATTTTAGCAATCAGGCCTAGGGGGCCTTTGGAAATGTTTAGTCCTATATTTAGTTGTTTAGGTACTCTCAAATATTTTAAGCTACATTTATAATATATTTTATTAAATTTCCAGATACTTCAGCTTACTGCATTAACGAACAAAATGTGGCAGATACTTATAAAACTTAAACATTCAGAGAATGAACATTTAACTTGAGTGACCTTAATTCTACCTTAGATGTTCTGCTAAGGAAGATTTCAATTAAAAGTCTAAATCAGTTGCCTCACACATTTTAAATTGAAGTTTACAAGGATCACACTCAAAAAGGTCAAATTCCCTTAAAAATTGCAAATCAGAAGAGCTATTAAAAATATTTTCAAAGTTTTATCAGTCCAATTCAAAGTTTCATCTTGGCAGGGGACTTTTATAGGAAGAAAGGAGAATGTAATAATTCTTCTTAGACTTAATATTAATTTTTTTATAAAAATTATAACCCAGTTAATGATTATTAGACTATAAGACTTGGTGCAAGACATTAAGATTCTAAGTAAGATTCTTTGTAAGATTGACAGTCGAGGGATATTGAGTCTTTTTTTTTCTTTAGCTGGGCTACAGTAATCATTTAATCATTTAGTCTTAATCCTATTAAAATCCATCATAAGTATGCTAAAGTATTTTCTTTAAAGTTGGGATGCTAATTTCTTCCCCGTATGATGGAAATTACATTGCACAGAAGTTCCTGACCAAAACCAGCTGTAGGACCATTTTTCTCTTTCAGTATCCTATTTCTTCTTTACCCCCAAACATTCATACTATGGTTTTGATTATCTTAAACTTTTGAAACTGAATTCAGAAATTTCTGGGCTTAAAAATTGCATACCTAAGGAAGACTCTTAACATGGTAAGTGATGCAGATTTGGGTGCAATCCTTGTCGGTGACTCTGGTGGGGTATGCTGGTCCCTGTGAGTAGATACACAGCCGAGGCCCCATAACATCCACCACTGGCCATGAAGCCCATATCTCTGGATTCACAGACCAAAGATGGATCTGTTAATCACACAGATGTACTTAATAGGCATTGACGGGCTCTTGCATCTTTCTGCATGTATGGGAATCACTATGCAACTCTTAAGTTTATTTTGCAAAGTTTATATGCAATAAAATGCTGGATAGGTTAAATGGCTTTGTCTGGCTTACAATGATATAATAAGATCCTACTGAAAGTAGGCAGAGCCCCAAATTTTCTTACGTTAGTATTAAGAACAATGAAGCAACCACTTTTACTCAGATAGGCTTAAGACACAGAAAAAGTCTCTGTCGTCTGAAATATAAAAGCAGGACAGGGGCAGGGGCTATCTTCTTGGTTAATCTATTTTAAATAGTTCACAAATTAGCAGTGAAGAGAGATTGAAAATGGAATTGAAACCTCCCATTCTCACTGTAGAGAATTTACAGAATGAATCGTACATTGTTATGCTAATTATGTAATAAATATGTATTTTATTCTCTAGTTCAGTTGTATATATTTCCAATTAATCCATTTGTCATATTGTTAAGATTTCTTTTCCTACTAAAAATATCTTTAAAACATCTAAGCTTACAGCTCCAAGTTCCATAACAGTATCTGGAATCACTAGACGAGCTACCCAAAGCTGCCCACCCCCGCTCTGGCAGGAGTCATGCCCTTAGTCGGATGCCTAGAGCTCACTGCTAAGGAGATGATCTGGCATTTGGTAGAAGGAGGATACACACACAGTGCTTTGGTGACAGGTGGCATGGCTCGCCTTCCTGACTCTGTCACTTCATACTTGGACAAGTTATTTACCCTCATCTAGTCTCACTTTCTTCATCTATACAACAGGAAAAGTACAACTGTCAAAGCAACATCTCAGATGTGATCGTGAGCACGTGTCAAAGTTTTCTTCAAGCTCGTTGGCAGGAGAAAAGCCCTTAAGAAGGCAGAGATCGAGATTGCCTCTTAGTAGGAGACTAGACAGAAAAAAATTATGCTTGGTTAAATATGATTGGGATAGTCATAATGCTGGTTTAAGATTATTACATTTTTGAATATCTAGTTACAGGTAACAAGAGTCAAGGTAAATTGAATTTTTCAGCAGAGTTTTCTCTCGTTAAAACCTATCAAAAATTGCACACAGATTTCATCAGGAATGCTAGATATTTCCCAAAAGGAGCTCTAAGGTGCATCATACAAAAGGATTCTGCTTCTCATCCAATTTAAGGACAATTATCTTTCTAAGTGCTTAGGTGATGAAGCTGTAAGGACCCAACAATACAGCTCAATTGTCATAAGTAATTAAAAAGAATCGCACCATTTACTTGCATTCCTAAATGACTACTAAGAGCCTCCAATTCACGGTATCCCTTGAATCTGTGTTTCTCTCCCCTCTCGCAATTGCCACTCCCCGAGGCTGCATAGAAGGTTCTCTCTTTGCGTGTTCCTATTTCCTCACCGTGTAGGTGAGGCTCCTGTGTCTCCTCTTTCCCAGGCAGCTCTTGCTGTGCTGCTCAGGGGCAGCTGGGTCATTGTACACAGGTGAAGGCCAGAGGGACAGTGGCTGACTGAAGAGGCTTAGCTAGCAAGGGCAGTCCCAGCGGGCTCTGCACCCCAGAAATGTCTGTCCGCCCACCCACTCAGTTAACAACCGTTTGTTGAGTGCCTGTCCTGCTTTTTTTTTTTTGACACAGAGTCTCTGTTGCCCTGCCTAGAGTGCCGTGGCATCAGCCTAGCTCACAGCAACCTCAAACTCCCGGGCTCAAGCAATCCTCCTGCCTCTGAGTAGCTGGGACTACAGGCATGTGCCACCATGCCTGGCTAATTTTTTCTATATATTTTAAGTTGTCCAGATAATCTCTATTTTTTTTAGTAGAGATGGGGTCTCACCCTTGCTCAGGCTGGTCTTGAACTCCTGAGCTCAAACGATCCGCCGGCCTTGGCCTCCCAGAATGCTAGGATTACAGGCGTGAGCCACCATGCCCGGCCATGTCCTGTTTACTTTTGTGGGCACGTCAGTGAACCAGACACCAGGCAATGCTCATATGGAGCTTAGGTTTGTTTTCAGGGAGACAGGTGGCTAATCACACTGTAATACAGAGTATCCAGTGTGTTCCAAGGTAGTAAATGATAAGGACAAAGAAATGTGGTAGGGAAAGGGGCTGGAGGTATGCAGTGAGGAAGGGTTGCCACTTTAAATAGCACATGGTGTGAGGCTCCTTGAGAAGGTGACAGTTGAGCACAGACTTGAGCTAAGGAGAGGCGACAGACCGCACGGACATCTGGGAAGAGCATTCTGGGGAGAACCGATTTCAACGCGAAGACCCTGGGGAAGGAGCGTCGCTGGTGTGCTTTGTGGACAGCAAAGGCCTCAACATGGCTGGAGCAGCGGTAGAAAGGGAGAGGAGCAGGGTGAGTTCAGAGAGTTCAGGAGCGTGCAGAGCAGTAAAAACCAGTAGGTCATTTTGAAGATGTTGCTTTTACCCTGAAAACAATAGGGAGTCAGTGGCGAGGGCCTTCATAAGATCTGCCGTAGGGTTATAAAGGATGCCCCTTGCTCTTGTGCTGGGAATTGAGTGAGGGGTCAAGGAGGGAAGCTGGGAGACCAGTGAGCTGATAATTGCTGCTGCTCAGGTAAGAGGCCCTGGTGGCTCAGGCCGCAGCTGCATCAGGGGAGGGAGTGAGAGGCGGCCGCGGGCAGGGCAGCTCATGAAGGAGCAGCCAGAGGGCTCACCCACTCCACATGCAGGCTGAGAGGACAGATCTCCAAGTTCCAGGGCCTGGACATCGGCCAGGACCACGTTGCCATCCAGTGCGATAGTGAAGGGTATGGGTGGAGCGCGTGGGGGGAGAAGATCAGAAAGTCAGGTTTGGGTATACGAAGTTCTGAGTATCTGTTACACACCCCAGTGGAGCTGTCCGGCAGGCAGTCTGGAATTAGGAGAGAACTGAACTCAAAATACAAGCTTGGAGGTCCCTGGGATGTAGTCGTGAGATTTGCTCTCACCCTTGCTCAGTAATCTGATTTTTGTTTAGAGAAGCCAAAAATTTTTATCTCTTCTGTGAAATTTTCCAAATTAAAAACAAACCGACCGACTGCATTTTCCCCAACTATCCTGACTCCCACGGCTTTTCTAGCACTCTCCCAGGCCCCTCTGCCCCGGCCAGGAACTTCAGCTCAGCCCCAGCTAAAGCTAAATTACAGGGAAATAATGACTCTGATCTTTCTGGAGGAAAACTCAGGGGTCCTTTTGTTCTTCCTAATGCCAGTCTAGAGAGAATGTTTCCTGCTGGAAGTATGCTCCCAGGGTGCTAGCAATTGGACTCTGGTTTAAATTCTAAGAAATTTCTGCCTCTAGTCTAAAAAGTGGCTCAATTTCCTGTCATTCTATAAAACTCACCTCCTGCTTTGAAGCAATTTCTTTTTTTTTTTTTTAAATCTTATTAACTTTTATTTTATGGCTCAGAAGATCATCTCTCTTAATAAAAGTTTCATGTATACTTGATGTTGAGCATTTTTTCATATGTTTGTTGGCCATTATTCTGTCTTCTTTTGAAAAGTTTCTGTTTATGGTTTTTGCCTACCTTTTAATGGGGTCATTTGATTTTTTTTTTTTTCTTGCTGATTTGCCTAAGTTATTTGTAGAGTCTAGTTATCAGCCCTTTTCTGGATGTACAGCATGGAAATATTTTCTCCCATTTTTCAGGTTGTCTATTCACTCTAATGATTGTTTCCTTGGCTATGCAGAAGCTTTCTAATTTGATCAGATCCCATTTATTTATTTTTCTTGTTGCTGTGATTGCTTTTAGGGTCTTCTTCATAAATTCTTTGCCTACGCTAATGTCTATGAGAGGTTTTCCAAAATTTTCTTCTACAATTCTATGGCTTCACACCTTAGGTTTAAGTCTGTTATCCACTGTGCATTGATTTTTGTGAGTGGTGAGAGGTGAGTGCGGATCCTGTTTCTTTAACTGTCTCCATGGCTATGCTTCAGCCTTTAAAGAGAAATATTTTGTTCCTTATCATCTCCTGTGAACAAGCAAATACGCCACAAAATAACAAAACGGGGCCTGAACCATGTATCCCTGGAGGCTGAGCTCTACCACTAGAGTCCCTTAGACCACTCTGGGTGAACCTTCTCACCTTATCTATTACCTGGATTGTCCCAGCCCCACCCAGCACTGATGCTTCTCCTTTGGAAGATATTTTGATTTTGGAGGAAATTATAAATTTTCATATGATAATGACTTTTGGCCTGCGATGTTTTTTATCTCCTTTTGCTTCCAACTATTCTCTGCCTTTCTTTCAATTGTGTTTTTCATTTTCCTTAAAGCTATGCACATTCTGCTTTTATACGAGGCAAACAGCTTCCAGTGTGTCTGCCACACCATCTTAGCCTTTACTGCGGTGCATCTCGGTACTCGCTTACCTGAGCTTCCATAAGTCTGAGGAAAGTTATTGTGTCCATGCTGAAAGCTGTTTTGTTAGACATTGTGCAGGAAAGGAAGCCACGTCCACCCAGATCCGGTTATATATGCAATATCATTAGGATTTAGAAGGTAATATTCAGAGTGATTATCTCCTAGCAATTTGAATTAAGGGCCTTACACAACTAAGAGAGTGAGTCCCTCACATGTAATGCACTCTTTTCACCACAGTAGCTCTGTGCTGCGCTTTTTCTGGGTTCGTGTCTTCAGTGCTCAGTTTATGCCAAGTGGAGAGAAAAAGAAACAAAACACCAGTTAAAATGAACTGATTAAAGAATATGGAAATTATACTCATAAAACTGCCCTTTTTAAACAAGGAAATTGGGCTCATGCATCTTTTATTTCAAGCATCTACTTTACAGATGAGTTTTTCTAATCACAATGTGCGTTGAACCAAAATGAACCAAGCTCGAAGGCAGCCCAACAAGTGCTCATTCATTTTTTTTTTTCCATTCTAAGAATATTAGATTTCCCATACCCAAGGACTCTTTTTTCCCTCCCAGAGATACATAATTGTTTTTTTGAGCGACCAAAGACGAATAAGTTTCTGGTCTACATTTTTGTTGCTAAATTGAGTTTATTAACACTGCAAAATGAGGTCCACGTGAGGCTTATTAAAGATGTGTTCAAACTGCCCAGATATTTTTCATTGGTTTCCCCCAAGCCCCTCCATTTACATGCCTCACTCTACTTGGTAATCTTGAGTTTTACAGGTATTTTAAAGTGTAGAATATAAGAAAAATGGGGGGGGTGGTAATTATAGGATGCTGTTTCACAAAAAGTTAAGATTCTATTAGTTGAAAGTAAGAGAATCCCAACTCGAGCTAGCCTGATCGAAACCAGGATTTTTCTGGAAAGGTCTCTGGTTATCTCACAGAATCCAGTATAGATTAAGGCAGCTGGCTGGCCCAGACATTTGGGGCTGCAACCAAATCTTGAGAGCAAGAGCCGACCACAGAAAGGCTTTCCGGGTGCCATCCTCTTGCCGCGGGCCGTGTGCTGCAGGTTTGTGTCCTTGTTCTGTTCCTGCCGCACTGCAGGCGAACGTTCTTCTGGCTGAGGACACAGCCAGAGAATGTCTAAGTTTTGTTATCTTATAGCTTCGGCCACCAAAAAGAGGCAACCCTGAACTTCCTTGGTACTGAAACCAAAAGAACTAAAGGATAAGCACCTACTGGCTATGGTTTGCTCAGTTTTTCATGCTTAAAATAATAATTTTTTTGTTGGGAGGGAGCAACATTGATACCATTATTTGCTGATCATGGAAATCTGTGTGTGAGAGAGAGAGAGAGTGTGTGTGTGTGTGTGTGTGCACGCGTGTGTGTATTGGGGGGAAGTAAGGTGGGATGGGGCAAAAGCAGGTATAGAGAGGTCACAGAAGAACTTGGTAGCTCTAGCTCTCGAGGTTTCCTTCAGGGCAAGCCCGGAAGAGAGCTCCTACCTCGGATCTTGTAGATGGGGGCCCGATGCTCTGAGTTTACGGCACTCCCTCCACGGCAACAGCTCAGAGGGGGACAGGGACTGCAGGTCACCTGAGTGACAAGCCTGTGTCCTTTCATCTCCCCCAAGACCAGGAGAGCGGGTGGGAACCAAGAGGAAGTATAGAATTTGGAAAGGGAGTGGAACACATTTTTTGTTTATTTGGTTGGTTGGTTTTTGTGAACAGATGCCAACGCAAAATTCAAAATCGCTGGGTATTTTTTCCTGTTCTTTAAGCCATAGTTGGAGCCATGAAGTTATCAACAAACTTTTCCCAAACACAAGCCCTGTCAGCACAATTGTATGTTTGCTGTGCTGAGCAGAAAATTTCTAATAATACGTCTGAACATATGCAGGGATATTAGTTTCTGGGCTTTGAAACAATCTCTGCTGGAGGGTTTTCCACCTATATAGGACATTTAGAGTAAATCATCCTACTTTTGCTGCCGCAGATTGTCAGAGGCTCCGCAATGAACCCATTTATTGTATTATGCCACTTCTGCAACTCCATGGCTAGAACCTCTCTCTTTTTAAATTCATAGAATTTTTTTTCTTTGCTCTCTCAGACTCTATGAAGATTGTTTTCAAGAATTACAGTATTTATCATTGCTTTTACTCCTAATTTTATTCACTACATTTAGTGAGCACTTGCCAGGCCATCTCGTAGTGGCAGGAGTCTAAGAGGCGCAGAGAATGACCCACAGGCTCCAGGCAATAAATGATATTGGGACTCAGATATCAGCCTCCCAAAGGAGTGAGCATTGCCTTCCCCCTGCAGTCCAAGTAACTCTTGATATTTTTCCTTCCCACCATTTCTGAAATTTATAGAATGTGTATTTTATTTTATTATATTGATGCTTCATATCTTAAATTTTCCCTTAATCTTATCCCAGTCTATTTAAAATCTTTTTTGTCCACATGATTCATTGTAGTTTTATGATATGGCCTATTAACTTTGTGTACTACATGTTTCCTAATTTTCTAATGTTGGAAGGATCTGCTTCTTAATCCATTAAGGACAATGTATCTTTCTAAGTGCTTAGGTAGCATGAAGCTGGATAAGCCCACCCAACAATACAGCTCAATTGTCATAAGTACATTAAAAAGAATCGCACATTTACTTGCATTCCTAAATGACTACTAAGAGCCTCCAATTCACGGTACCCTTGAATCTGTGTTCGTTCCCCTCTCCCAATTCCCTCCCCGAGGCGCATAGAAGTTCTCGTCTTTGCGTGTCCTATTCCTCACCGCGTAGGTGAGCTGGTCCCTCTTTCCACGGCAGCTCTTGTGTGCTTCTCAGGCCGGCACCGGGTCCATTGTAACACAGGTGAAAGCGGCCCAGAGGACATGCCTTGACCCTGAAGAGCTTAGCTTAAGCCAGGGGCCAGCCCAGCGGCTCTGCACCCCAGAAATGCTGTCCGCCCACCCACCCTCAGTTTTCACCCACCCACCACCCACTCAGTTAAACAACCGTTTTTGAGTGCTGCCCTTTTTTTTTTTTTTTTTGACAGCAGAGTCTTTGTTGCCCTGCAGAGTGCCGTGGCGTCAGCCTAGCTCACAGCACACCTCAAACTCACTGGGCTCAGCAATCCCCTGCCTCAACTTCTGAGTAGCTGGACTGCAGGCATGTGCCACCATCGCCTGCTAATTTGTTACATAATTAGTTTCAGATAATCCTCTATTTTTTAGTAGAGAGGGTCTCACTCTGCTCAGGTCTGGTCTTGAACTCCTGAGCTCAAACGAACGCCGGCCTTGCCTCCAGATGGCTTAGGGGGATTACAAACGTGACCACCACGCCCGCCAGTCCCTGTTTACTTTGTGGGACGTCAGTGGAACCAGACCACCGACAGCCAATTGCTCATATGGAAGTACGTTTGTTTTCAGGGAGAACAGGTGGCCAATCACCCTGTAATACAGAGTATCAGTGTGTCCAAGTAGTAAAATTGATAAGTCGGCACGCGGGCGCTGCCGAAAGAAATGTGCAGGGAAAGGGTGAGGCTATGCAGTGAGGAAGGGTTGCGACATTAAAATACGCATATGGTCTGGTCGAGGCTCCTTCGAGAAGTGACAGTCTGAGCACAGACCTTGAGCTAAGGAGAGCGACAGACCGCACGGACATCTGGAAGAGATTCTGGGGAAACGATTCAACGCGAGACCCTAAGGAGCGCGCTGGTGTGCTTTTGGACAGCAAAGGAGCCTCAACATGCTGGAGCACCGTAGAAAGGGAGAGGAGCAGGGTGATTCAGAGAGTTCAGGCGCCGTGGCAGACAGTAAGAAACCAGTAGGTCATTTTGAAGATGTGCTTTGAGGCCCTGAGAAACAATAGGAGTCATGGCGAGGGCCTTCATAAGATCTGCCGATTAGGGTTATAAAGGATGCCCTTGCTCTTGTGCTGGGAATTGAGTGTAAGGGGTCAAGGAGGGAAGCTGGGAGACCAGTGAGCTATAATTGGCTGCTGCCTCAGTAAGAGCCCTGGCTGCATGCCGCAGCTGCGTCAGGAGGAGAGAGCGGCCGTGGGCAGGCAGCTCATTGAAGAGCACCAGAGGCTCGACCCACTCGCATGCAGGCTGAGAGGACAGATCTCAAGTCCCAGGGCCGGACATCGGCCAGGACCACTTTGCGCATCCAGTGCGATAGTGAAGGTATGGGTGGAGCGCGTGGGGAGAAGATCAGGAAAGTCAGGTTTGGGTATACGAAGTTCTGAGTATCTGTTACACACCCCAGTGGAGCTGTCCGGCAGGAGTCTGGAATTAGGAGAGGACTGAACTCAAAATAAAGCTTGGAGGTCCCTGGGATGTAGTCGAGATTTGCTCTCACCCTGCTCAGTAATCTGATTTTGTTTAAGAAGCCAAAAATTTTTATCTCTTCTGTGAAATTTCCAAATTAAAAACAAACCGACCGACTGCATTTTCCCAACTATCCTGACTCCCACGGCTTTTCTAGCACTCTCCCCAGGCCCTCTGCCCCGCCAGGAACTTCAGCTCAGCCCCAGCTAAAGCTAAATTACAGGGAAATAATGACTCTGATCTTTCTGGAGAAAAACTCAGGGTCCTTTTGTTCTTCCTAATGCCAGTCTAGAGAGAATGTTTCCTGCTGGAAGTATGCTCCCAGTGTAGCAATTGGACTCTGGTTTAAATTCTAAGAAATTCTGCCTCTAGTCTAAAAAGTGCTCAATCTCCTGTCATCCTATAAAACTCTCTCCCTGCTTTGAAGCAATTTCTTTTTTTTTTTAAATCTTATTAACTTTTATTTATGGCTCAGAAGTCATCTCTCTAAAAAAGTTTCATGTATACTTGATGTTGAGCATTTTTCATATGTTTCTGGCCATTTTCGTTCTTTTGAAAAGTTTCTGTTATGGTTTTTGCCTACCTTTTAAGGGGTCGTTTGATTTTTTTTTTCTGCTGATTTGCCTAAGTTATTTGTAGAGTCTAGTTATCAGCCCTTTTGGATGTACAGCATGGAAATATTTTCTCCATTTCAGGTTGTCTATTCACTCTAATGATTGTTTCCTTGGCTATGCAGAAGCTTTCTAATTGATCAGTCCCATTATTTATTCTTGTTGCTGTGATTGCTTTTAGGTTCTCTTCAAATTCTTTGCCTACGCTAATGTCTATGAGAGGTTTTCCAAAATTCTTCTACAATTCTATGGTTTCACACCTTAGGTTTAAGTCTGTTACCACTGTGCATTGATTTTTGTGAGTGGTGAGAGGTGAGTGCGGATCCTG